GGGCTAGAACCCCTGACAGTTTTTTATTTATGAACATATACTTTAAAGTTTCTGAAGCCATTTTTCCCCATTTTCAACAGAGTAGGAAATGGTTAAAACCCGCCTTACTGCCATCTGTGTTCAATTGTGGAAATTAAATATTTATTCACTTCTGGGCCTGTGGAAACAAAATTTCTTCATAGTGAGGGAAATGTCATTGTATTTGTTACTTGAAAAAGTATCCTGATTGAAAGATTTTGGATTTTTCTCACTTTTAAGTCTCAGTGGCAGTGTTCACCAGGACCAAGAGTATATCTCTTTAACAGGAATGGCTATAAAAAAAAAAAAAACTTACATGGGGATGAACCCATGTAAGTTTTTTTTTTTTTTTTTATCCTTTACCACTCTATAAAAAACGAAACCTGCATTAATGAACCGCACAAATTTTATAAAAAAAATTATTTGTAAAAGTAAATTACCACTTGTTTTTTGCACCTTAAAATACTGCTAGCTTTAAGCTGATAATGTGAGCGTTTCAGTGAGTTGCTTGAGGTAAGTGGGAACAGGAGATGTTTCAGGTGTCAGTAAGGTTAAACTGTAATTTTTGTATTTTCTGTGAGCAAATCAGTACTACAAGCATGATCATAAACACAGAGGGATGGGTACAGTTCTCAAAGAAAATGATTTTTATGGTGAGTACAATCCTTTTTGTCCAATGAGGGACACCAGAAGTCTTAAAGTAGAACTAAAGCCAAATTTGTTTTTCTTTCAAATAGAGAGGGTTATAACCCCTGTATTTTTTTCTCATCTATCCTTGTCCTGGTTGTTCCTGTTGGAAAATGTCCCCAATGTTCCTGTTCTGGTGACAACTCAAAATTTGGGATTTCCTTGCACTCATAATGATCACCAGGAGAAATCCGGAGTGTGAATCTCCCTGAAGGGGAGACCCAGACAGCTTAAACAACCTGACGGCTCTAATCTCTCTGCACTCTATCGCAAATAATAGAGGTGCAACATTGCCAGTAACCACTAACCGGATCAATGAAAAAAGAAAACGGAACTCAAAGACCTTGTGTCTGAGCCAGATGAGGCGTAAACATCCACCCGATAGAACTTGGGGACCATGCGAACAGAAAACCAGATAACAGCCTTAAATATGGGAGGTGGGAGCATGATGCTGAAAAGCCCAAAATCTACTAACTACCCTAATGGAAGTGAGCCTTGAACAATGGTCTAGTCTGCCTGAGCTACCTAAAAATGATAAAAGAAGAAGCGGAGTTGCCTTTTCTGGGCCCATCCACGATCGCAAAGGGGCATATGCATTCCTGAAAGAAGCAGTGGCTAAATTTGCACAGCCAGAACCACAACCAAATGATAGAAACACCACCTGGGCCACAAGCACAACCTAGTGGTTTAGAGTAGGGAGAGGAACCTAATAGTTTCAAACAAGAGCGTCTGAAACACTGAAAGAACCAGATTCAAATCCCAAGGAAATGAAAAGGGGTGGACTACTTAGAGTCCCACTGCAGATCCTAACCGGAGAGTGGGAAGTAAACAGTCTCTGGAACAGAATGGCAAGGGCAGAGGCTTGGCCCTTCATGGCTAAGAGCCAAATGTTGGTCTGGACCTAACTGCAGGAAACAGAAACTCCTGGGGTGAAAGCCCTTACACTCACACCAAGGCATGGAGACCAGAAACAACCCTCTCAAGTCCCATTGCCTATAAATACGGGATCAGATAGTAATCCGTTTATTTTTATTCTACCGGAGGGAACATCATATAAAGCCATAATCTTTGCAATGAAAGGCAGTGGTAGGCCCAAACGGAGCAAAGTAGCACAAACAAAATTCCAATCTAAGCGATAAAAAGCCTTTTCTACATCAAGCGAAAGGAGGCACAATGGATAAAACCCCTACTGAAAAGGGGGCTGATATTGCAGTCGGCACTGAAGGTTCAATAGGAGGAAGCCCCGTTCTAGTTGCATAGTCAATTAATTCCGCTGACAAATTGTTAATGTTCTCTCTTCTTGATACTTCTAGATAGTACTCTTGAAAAATGTTGGCAATCTGAGACAAATTATATATCATGCCTTTTGTTGGACTTTTTTTTTTTTTGATAGATGTGTGTATGGGACTGTTTTATCCTAATAGATCTAGCCAAGGCTCTGCAGCACTTATTACCCTGGATAGAGAGGCAATGTCTCAAGCAATATTTGTGTTTCTGATATGAGCAGTCCAATAATCTTAATCGCTCTCTGTACATTTGAGCTGTAAAGATTGGAAGTACTTTAGATCCTATGTGCGTTTATGCTCTATTTCCAGAGTGCTCTTTCTGTAATAAACTAGTGATGGCTGTAGAGCTTCTTTTTTTTTTCCAACATTGTCCCATGAGGTTAGCGTCCCGCGAACCACAGACTTAAGTTTTCAATACCAATATCTTTATTAAAATGTTTACAATACAAGAATCAGGTGTTGAAATTTCCTTGCTACTAAATATTCCACAGTCAACTGTTAGTGGATTGTAATAAGGTGGAAGCAACTGGGAACAACAGCAACTCAGACAAGAAGTGGTAGGCCACGTAAAATGATAGAGCGGGGTAAGCGCATGCTGAAGTGCGCAGAAGTCGCCAACTGTCTGCAGAGTCAATAGCTTCCAAACTTCGTGTGGCCTTCAGAGTGGCACAACAACAGTGCATAGAGAGTTTCATGGAATGGGTTTCCGTGGCCGAGCATCTGCAGCCAAACCTTACATCACCAAGTGCAATGCAAAGCGTCTGATGCAGTGGTGCAAAGCACGCCGCCACTTGACTCTAGAGAAGTGGAGACGTGTTCTCTGGAGTGACGAATCACGCTTCTCTGTCTGGCAATCCGATGGACGTGTCTGGGTTTGGCGGCTGCCAGGAGAACAGTACTTGCCTGACTGCATTGTGCCAAGTGTTAAGTTTGGTGGAGGGGGGATTATGGTGTGGGGTTGTTTTTCAGGGGTTGGGCTTGGCCCCTTAGTTCCAGTGAAGGGAACTCTTAAGGCATTAGCATACCAAGACATTTTGGACAACTTCATGCTCCCAACTTTGTGGGAACAGTTTGGGGATGGCCCCTTCCTGTTCCAACATGACTGCGCACCAGTGCACAAGCAAGGTACCTAAAGACATGGATGAGCAAGTTTGGGGTAGAGGAACCTGACTGGCCTGCACAAAGTCCTGACCTCAACCCGATAGAACACCTTTGGGATGAATTAGAGCGGAAACTGCAAGCCAGGTCTTCTCGTTCAACATCAGTAGCAGACCTCACAAATGCGCTTCTGGAAGAATGATCAAACATTCCCACAGACACACTCTTAAACCTTGTGGACAGCCTTTCCGAGAAGAGTTGAAGCTGTTACAGCTCAAAAGGGTGGGCCAACTCAATATTTAACCCTATGACCCATTATGCCATTAAAGTTTATGTGCATGTAAAGGCATGTGTGTGTTTATATAAATATTAATCTATATATATTATAATGTATATGTATATATTTGTGTTCGGAGTCTTAAATCCTTAGTAATTGATATCTCAACAAATGAAATATTGGGTGTGCCATGGGCCGGATGGACAGTACACCAATAAGAGGGCATACTCTGTATTAGAGTCCTGCAGGTCTTAGCAAGAGCTCTGCAAGCTCGCTGGTCTGGAGACTTGCAATGCAATAGTTTAGCAAGTAATTTTCAAACTTGCAGCTCAATTGCTTGCTATCTGGGTAGCGGCCAGACAGCAACACCTCCCACAAATACCGGCTAATAAATTAACCTTCAACTTGTGTACAGAGTCTTAAATCCTTAGTAATTGATATTTCAACAAATGAAATACTTATGCCATGGTCCGGATGGAGAGTACACCAATAAGAGGGCAAAAACAATCATTAAAGGAGAACTATGAGGTGAGTGATTTTCACTCGCCTCATAGTTATAGCCGACCTGTGACAATGAGACTGTCACAGGTCGGCTCAGTAGATCGGGAGGTGAGCGAACACATAGCGGCGTTCTCTCACCTCTCGATCCTGTCACGGCTCTCTGCCGTGACAGGGGAGGGGCTGGATTCCCCGCTCCGATCCGCCAGCGCTGACTGGTGGAACGGGAGGGGGCGGGTACAGCTGGCTCTGCCTTTTAGATAGGCAGAGCTAGCTGTCAAGTCACGCAGCTGGGCGGATCCTGGCA